GAGTCTCAGAAAATAAATTTAAAAGTTTTTTTCAGTGTTGAATATTCTTTTGGGAATAAAGCTTTCAATATTTTATAACATGTTCCCCCAAAATAGTAATCTGCAGAAAAATATGAATAGGACACAAAGTGAAATCCATAATCAAATTATCAATTATATGAACACCAAAGTAATATTATATGTTCAGGAATACTTAGGGAGAGGTAGATTTTAGAGCTAGACAGGACCCAAGAGATTTAATTTACCTTCATTGTTTTTATAGAAAACATGCTAATATTTTAGAAATAAAAAAAGTGTAATATTGTTTTGTTTTTTAAAATTTCATTATTTTTGTTTCACTGTATAAACTGATATATAACTTCTTTGGAGGGCTATTTAAAGTATTTATCAAAAGTCTTTAAAATGCTCATGCCCTCTGTCCTGGCCGGGTGGCTCGCAGTTAGTGCCGGAAGCCAGTCCATCCTTGCTGCTTGACACAGTCGCTGCAGGAAAGAAACATCTGCACAGCATATGTTTCAAGGGACCTGGCATATATAGCATACTGTTCTTAATATGTTTGCTCCCTTTAGCACCATGTGTTTTAACCAAGGTCACCTCTCCGAGAAAGGTTGTTTCCCCAGGTGGGGATCTTTCCCTGAGGTTAGGGAGGGGATACAACCCCTTAATTAAGTGCCAGGCGGGTAGTTAAGCTACATAATCTTTACTCCCTGGAATGGAGATAAGAAACGCCCTAACCTTTGTAATAGAAATTGACAGGATTAAAATCAGCTGGTATAAATACGGATGTAACAAGACATTAAACATCAGATCCTCATCAGATCCTCATCAGTTCCTAACCAGAACTCCGACCAGAACTTTGGCTGGAGATCCTGGCTAGAGGTCCTGACTAGGCTGCTGATCAACTGAAGGCTGTCTTCGTGTCATTCCTTCTTCGCCGACTCCGTCCACACCTTTGGGGACCCCTGCACCCGCTGGGATTGGACCCCAGCAAGTTAGTTAGAATGTCATACCGTGCACCAAAAAAGTTGGGAGTTCAATCTCCAGTTGATGCAGAAGGCAACCATTGATGTTTCTCTCTCACACTGATGTTTCTCTCTCTCTCTCTTTCTTCCCTTCCTCTCTCTCTAAAATAAATAGAAACAAACACATTACTGGGTGCGGATTTAAAAAATAAAAATAAAGCCCTAGCTGGTTTTGCTCAGTGGATAGAGCATCAGCCTGCAGACCAAAGGGTCCTGGGTTCGATTCTGGTCAAAGGCATGTCCCTTGATGCAGGCTCCTCCCGGGCCTGGGCCCTGGTCAGGGCTCGTGCAGGAGGCAACCAATCAATGTGTTTCTCTCACATCAATGTTCCTCTTTCCCTCTCTCTTCCACTCTCCCTAAAAATCAATAGAAAAATATCCGGAGAAAACCAAGATGGCGGCATAGGTAAACACCGGAGATTGCTGCTTAGCACAACCACTTCAAGAATACAACTAAAAGATGGAACTGACATCATCCAGAACCACAGGAAAGCTGGTTGATTGGAAATTCTACAACTAGAAGGAAAGAGAAAAGCATACTGTGACTCAGAGGAGGTGCGGTGCGGAAGTAAAGTACAGAGGTATGGAGGCACACGCGGAGAGAGATGGCGGCTGAGGACATGGTTGTCTTTTTCAATTGGTAGGGAGTCTCAAGCTCTGAGCTCAAGTTCCGGGCGAGTCTCTGGGGACCCAGACTCATACTGGAGAAACTGGACTGTCTGACACCGGTCGGAACTCGAGGGCAGCTTTCTCTCGGAGGTGCTTGCAGCAATTGCCGGGACACTGAGAAGCGGGGCCTCTAAGGGCAGCCATAGCTGCTTGCTCCGCCCTGTTGATCCCCTGGGACCCCCGCCCCGCCCAAGCTGTGCGCCGCCTTTTGCATATGAAAGGCCTGGCCCTTTGCAATCTGAAAATTACCTAACAAACTTGCAGCTGGCCCAAGGCCCCAGGGCAACTTGCATTGCTTCACAGCTGAGCTCCTGCTGGGTAGCCTCAGGCAGAGGCTAGATTAGCACCTCCTTAGAGATCCAGGAGCCAGTGTACCCAGTGGTCAGAGTGGGACCATCCAGATTGCAGCTCCTCGGATCCATAAAGGACACACTCAGGGGGCAGACTCAGTGAGCACCAAAGCCCCACTGAAGCAAGTCTTGCCCAGGAGGGGTGTCTCCAGCACAGAAGTTCTACCACTGTAGACACAGCTGATTCTCACAGCCAACTGGCCTGGAGGTCAATTCCTCCCAGTGATACCTACAACAATCAACGCTTAACTACAACAAGACTGTGCACAAAGCCCACAGGGGGTGCACCAAGAGTGTCCACCTCAGGTAATTGGGGAGGCTGAGCAACTGGGCCCTATAGGAAACCTAGCACAGAAAGCCACTCTATCAACACAGGGAAGCATAAAAAATGCGGAGACAAAGAAACAGGACACAAATGACAGAAATGGAGGAAAGCAAACTACTGGATATAGAGTTCAAAACCATGGTTATAAGGTTTTTCAAGAACTTTCTAGAAACCGCTGATAAATTTAGTAAGACCCTCAAAAAGTCTGGTGAGACCACCGATAAATGGAGACCCTCAAGAAATCTAGTGAGACCCTTGAGGTTATGAAAAAGGACCAACTAGAAATTAAGCATACACTGACTGAAATAAAGGATATTATGCAGAGTTCCAACAGCAGACTAGAGGATCGCAAGAATCAAGTCAAAGATTTGAAATATGAAGAAGCAAAAAACACCCAACCGGAAAAGCAAAATGAAAAAAGAATCCAAAAATGCGAAGATAGGAGCCTCTGGGACAGCTTCAAGAGTACCAACATCCGAATTATAGGGGTGCCAGAAGAAGAGAGAGAGCAAGATATTGAAAACCTATTTGAAGAAATAATGACAGAAAACTTCCCCTACCTGGTGAAAGAAATAGACTTCCAAGTCCAGGAAGCGCAGAGAACCCCAAACAAAAGGAATCCAAAGAGGACCACACCAAGACACATCATAATTAAAATGCCAAGAGCAAAAGACAAAGAGAGACTCTTAAAAGCAGCAAGAAAAAGACAGTCAGTTACCTACAAGGGAGTACCCATACGACTGTCAGCTGATTTCTCAACAGAAACCTTGCAGGCCAGAAGGAAGTGGCAAGAAATATTCAAAGTGATGAATGCCAAGAACCTACAACCAAGATTACTTTATCCAGCAAAGCTATCATTCAGAATTGAAGGACAGATAAAGAGCTTCACAGACAAGGAAAAGCTAAAGGAGTTCATCACCACCAAACCAGTATTATATGAAATGCTGAAAGGTATCCTTTAAGAAGAGGAAGAAGAAGAAAAAGGTAAAGATACAAATTATGAGCAACAAATACACATCTATCAACAAGTGAATCTAAAAATCAAGTGAATAAATAATCTGATGAACAGAATAAACTGGTGATTATAATAGAATCAGGGGCATAGAAAGGGAGTGGACTGACTATTCTTGGGGGGGAAAGGGGTGTGGGGGATGTGGGGAGAGACTGGACAAAAATTGTGCACCTATGGATGAGGACAGTGGGGGGGGGTGAGGGCGGAGAGTGGGGTGGGAACCGGGTGGAGGGGAGCTATGGGGGAAAAAAGAGGAACAACTGTAATAATCTGAACAATAAAGATTTAATTTAAAAAAGAAAAAAGAAAAATGTCCCCGGGTGAGGATTAACAATCAATAAAATAACAAAACATAACAAAATCAAATAACAAAATAAAAAAATAAATAAAATGTTCATGCCCTCTGACTTAGTAATTATCTTCTGAGATTTTGTCCTAAAGGTACAAATCATAAATGATCATTCTATTCAACAAATTAATTCAACCAACATTTAGTAAGCATCTCCTATGAGTTATTAGATATTGTTTCTCAGAAAACAACAGTGAACACAGCATGTCACTGCCATCATGAAGCTTAAATTCCGGTGAGAGATAAAGACAATAAACAAGTAAATATGTTAAAAAACATATAAAATTTATATATAAAATACATAAAAATTTCAGCTGTTGGTAGATGAAAAAAAAAAAAAAGCAGTGTGTGAGAGTAAAATGATGAGAGTTAAACTTAGGAAAACCAACCAGGGAAGAAAATCTCTGAAGAGAAGTCATGAATGAAGTAAGGGTGTAGGTCTGAAAAGCAGAGAGGTATCTGGGGGAAACAAGAAACAATAAGTGCAAATGCCCTGGGGCAAGTTTTCTCAAACATTCCCCAACAGAGTCACCATCACACTGAATGTTAGTTAAGAGCCAATTGTGAGTAAGTAGATTCTGGTAAAAAAATTGGTGAGGTTTTTGTTTGTAATCAGCTAGCAATGTTTATTGACTTTCAAAAAAAATTCTGTCTTTAATAAGAAACTTTTTTTATACTAGTAGTATTATTATAATATTATTTATAGTTGGAAACAACCTACATGTTCTATAGTTGTTACTAAATTGGCTAAATACATGATAATACATTCATAAAATGAAATACTTTAAAAACAATAAAATAACATTTTAAAGTCACATTAAAATATTTAATGATATGGAAAAATGCTATTACATAAAGTGAAAAGAGAAATTTATTAAACAGTCTATATGAGCAAAATTTATTTTTAAAATATTTTCAACTATTTCTTGATAGGTCTTTATATATACAGAAAAGAATAGAAGACTACATCCTAAATATTGAGAGAGTAGTGATTATCTTTCATTGGTATGACTATGGACAATTTTTATCTTTTTTGGACTTTTCTATGTTTTCCAAATATATCAAATGTAATACTTTATAAAAATAGGGGGCTAAACCCAAAAGTTATTTTCAAAATAAATGTGTTAAAAGGTGGAATTTTGGTTTTTACCAGGAAACAAAACAAAACAGGAAACACTTGAGCTCCATTAGCTTCTTTTTTCTTTACAGCTGATTCATTTTAGGACTAGCTAAAGGGTAACTACAAAAGTTCTGGAGAAGCGATTATACTTACATTCCTGTTTGAAGGTGAAATATTCGGTAAGATGCCTGCATTCATGATTTCCCCGAAGCAGAAACAGTGTTTTGGGATGATTAATCTTTAAACTCCATAAAAACAGTACACACTACAAGACAAATACAAGCATAAAATTTTTATTTGTGACCATGACAATGCACAAAGATAACTTACATAAATTCAAATGACTTGTAATGGCATATCTTATTACTATTCCCAAGTTGAAACATGAAACCTTCAGCTTGTGAATGTAATATGCCATTGCCCTAGAATTTGACAGAGCATAGAGAATAGCCTTCATAGAAATCTCTCAATTTCTGTTTCCATGTTCTTTACAAGTATCTAGAACTCTGTGACAAAGCAACCCACACATATATAATATATAACTTACTCCTAAAACCTGTATTTTATTTAATGGAGAAATACTAGAGACATTTCCACTAAAATGAGGAACAAGGTGACCTAGCTGGTTTGTCTCAGTGGATAGAGCCTCGTCCTGAGAAATTGAAAGATTCGATTCCCATCAAGAGCATGTACTTTGGTTGCAGGCTCAATCCCCCACCTGGTTCTGGGCATGTGCTGGAAGCAACCAATCAATGTGTTTCTCTCCCATCAATGTTTCTGTGTGTCTCTCCCCTTCTCTTTCACTTTCTCTAAAAATCAATGGAAAAATATTCTCAGGTAAGGATTAACAACAACCAAAAAAACCCCACAATAATAATAAATAAAATAAACAACCACTGGTACAATAAAATAAATAAATAAAATCAGGAACAAGGCAAAGATAACCACTATCTCCGCTATTATTCAACACTATACTTAGAGGTATTAGTCAATGGAATTAGATAAAAGCAATCAATTAGGGGCTTAAAAATGGGTAAAGAAAAAAAAAACTACCTCTATTTGCAGATAACATAATATGATAATATACTTGAAAAACTCCAGAAAAATCAATGATAAAACTCAAATAATACAAATCAGTAACAGGGCAGAATATAAAATTAACATATAAAGTCAATAACCTTCATATACACAAAATAAGTAGAACACAATGGTAGAGAAAACTCCATTTACAATAGCAGTAAGGAAGATTAAACACATAGGAATAAATTTATGTACAAATTTCATACCAAGAAAACTTTATAAATCTCATACCAGGAAAAATTTAAAACCTTCCCAAGAGACACAAAGTAGATATAAACAAAGAGACATTCCCTATTCTTGGATAGGATGATTCAACATTAAAAGATTGCAGTTCTTCCTCATTTAACTTATAATATCATTGCAATTCCAATAAAAATATCAACAAGCTATTCTATGAAGTTTTAATTTTAGCTGATACTAAAATTTACATGAAGAAAAAAACATACAACCGTCAGGAAACACCTAGAAAAAAAAACACTGAAAGAGAAATTATGAGGGGGACTAGCCTTACTGAATATTAAAACAGACTATAATGTTTCTAAAATTAAAGCAATGGTACTAGCATATATAAAAATATACCAGTGGAATAAAATAGTCCAGAAATTAATCTGAGTACATATAAATTTGGTGTATAGTAAGGGTGGCATCCTAAATTACTAAAATAATGATGTACTTAATGTCTCTGGGATAATTGGTCACATTTCAAAAAAAGCATTAGATCCCTATCTATAATAATAAAAGGGTAATATGCTAATTAGACCAGATGTTTTCCAGACATCATTCTGGATGTCCTTCCTGACGAACCTGAGCCCGGGGGGGGGGGGGGGGGGACAGCCTGGGTCCCGGGTACCTGTGGGTGGCCCGAGGGAAGCTAGCCCCATCCCAGGTGCCTGCTGATGGCTGGAGGAGGGAAGCCCGGGTCCTGGGTGCCGGAGGGAAGCCAGTGCCAGCAGTCGGGGGAAGGAAGGCCTACTCTTGCACGAATTTTTGTGCGTCAGGCTTCTAGTCTTATATAATAAATAACTAATGGAAATGGGATTTAATTGTATCAAAATGAAACCATACAAATTCTAGAAGAAATTTGTGGGTGAGTTCTTCTTTAGCTTTAGTGTGGGGAAAAATTTTGTAACTAACTAGTAAAAATCTGAAGGGGTGGGGGAAAGATGGGTAAATTTGACCACTTTTTAAAAATTGCATGGTAAAAAACAATTTGGCAAAAACTGACAAAACTTAACTTTTGATAACTTCTAGGAGTCTACTCTGAAAATACACCTCCAACAATAAGAAAATACATATTCACAAGGTTGCAGCATGGTTTGTAATAGCAAAATACTGGAAACAATGTAAATAGTCATACACAGGAGAGAAGTTGAGCAGATTATGATACAGTCACACAATGAAGTACTATGAAGCTATTAAAAAAAAGAGTGAGAAAGATATATATATATATATATATATAATTGATTTTTTAGAGAGGAAGAGAGAGGGACAGAGAGTCAGAAACATCGATGAGAGAGAAACATCCATCAGCTGCCTCCTGCACACCTCCCACTGGGGATGTGCCCGCAACCAAGGCACATGCCCTTGACTGGAATCGAACCTGGGACCCTTTAGTCCACAGGCCGACGCTCTATCCACTGAGCCAAACCAGTTAGGGAGAGAAAGATCTCTTTAAACTGATTTGGAGTGATTTCCAAGATATAATGTTGAGTGAAAAAAGCACAAAAGCTACTGTTAATGTAATAAAGAAGGGGATATAAGAAGTACACATGTCGCTGAAACCGGTTTGGCTCAGTGGATAGAGCGTCGGCCTGCGGACTGAAAGGTCCCAGGTTCGATTCCGGTCAAGGGCATGTACCTTGGTTGCGGGCATATCCCCAGTGGGAGATGTGCAGGAGGCAGCTGATCGATGTTTCTCTCTCATCGATGTTTCTAACTCTCTATCTCTCTCCCTTCCTCTCTGTAAAAAATCAATAAAATATATTAAAAAAAAAAAAAAGAAGTACACATGTGCATAAGAAATACAGGAAGCATAAATCAAAAACTAAAGAGATCGGCCCTAGCTGGTTTGGCTCAGTGGATAGAGTGTCGACCTGCGGATTGAAGAGTCCCGGGTTCGACTTCGGTCAAGGGCACATGCCCGGGTTGCAGGCTTGATCCCCAGTAAGGGGGCGTACAGGAGGCAGCCAATCAATGATTCTCTTTCATCATTGATGTTTCTATCTCTTTCTCCTTCTCCCTTCCTCTCTGAAATAAATTAACAACAACTAACGAGATCGGTTACTTACAGGGAGCATAGAGGAAAAGGGTGGGAAGGAGGGGAACTGGGAATAGGTTAGGAAGGATCAGGAGGAAGTGACACTTCTCAAAGCATACCTTTCTGGACAGTTTTAAACTCCAGAACCCCAGTCCTGTAATGATTTACATATGCCTCCCAAAATAAGTAACTGAATCAACCAAAATGGAATATAAATAGTAACAAATGAACTTAACTGCATTATAAGTGAATAACAAAGCAACAAAGAAGAGGAGGGAGGAGGAGGAAGAGGGAACTAATTAAAGTAACTTTGGAAAACAGCATGTTGATTGCATACCACAAGGCTAAAGACACAAAGAAATATATACAAATACTGTAACTTTAGTTAGTTTTTCACAGTATGAGTTGGCTGCTATGTACCCATTTTATGGGTACACTGGAATCGAGTAGATAAATGACTATATTGAGAGCCAGGAAAGAGGGAAGACTAAAATGAACCTTGTGATGGATTGGAATCAGAGGTATCATATGGACTCACACTTTTTAAGATAACGAAATAAATAAAAATATGAATGTATGTGTATATATTTCCTAGCTCCTGCTGAGAGGGCCTAGGACCTCAAAAAGTATTATGTGTATTGATTTTGGGATTACAAGTAAATTTTAGCAAGGAGGTATATACACAAATACAGAATTCATGAATAATGAAGATTTATAGTATATACTAACCATGAAATATACATATTTCACACACAACCTCATAACACAAGCAACAATTGATAGGACTATGGTGAGAAACAGATAAATCAATAACTGTATTTGGAGATTTTGACAGAAACCCAAAAGTAACTCATAGTCCAAGCAGACAAAAAGAATCAAAGTTATAAAGAACAGTTCAACAAATAGAGAATGCATTCTTTTCAAGAACATATGGGATAGCCATAAAAATCTACCATGTTCTCCATCACAAAGGGAGTCTCAATAAATTCCAAAGAATGCATATTATTCATATCATGTTCTCTAATCTAATTACATTAGAATCATAAGATACCAACTTCAAAAAATCCTGCATGACTGGAAACAAAAATACATACTACACCTTCATTGTCTTAGAGCTACAAAGAATTCTTAAAATGTAAAACACTGAATGATAATAAAAACAATACATGTCAAAATCAGTGGGACTCAGATAAAACAGCACTTAATGGGAAGTGTACAGTGATAAGCACTTATTTCTTAAAAATCAATTATGTAAATATGCTTAGATATGCTTACCCTACCTCTGAAAGGTCTTAAAAGAAACTCTTAATAGTGACTGTAAGAGTGGGATGGTTAAAATATGAGATGTTCAATTTCACTAGAAAAATATTATTTGAAATAATGATAAGATCCTACTTTATACCCATCATTTTGGTTAATGTTAGAAAATGAGATAAAACCAAATTCTTGAAAAAGGGATGTGAGGAAATATGAACTCTTAGATGCTATCGGCAGGAGCATAGGCTCGTATAGCTATTCTGATGAGTGCTCTGGCAATAGTTAGTTCAAGTATAAAGCTATATACCCTTTCCCCTAGCTATCCCACTCTTGTTCATAAACCATAGAAAAACTAAAACATGAGACCATAAGGGGATTTATATCATAAGCAGTGTTCATTATAGAAAGAAACTGGAAGCAACGTAGGTGTCCACCATTAAGAATTGAGAACAAAAATGTCACAGCTATGTATAATGGAATACGATACAGCAGGCAGAAAGCAATGAAGTTGAGATATACAGCAACCTGGATAGATCTTTAAAACATAGTAAGTGAAAAACAAAACAGAAACAGAGCTCCAGCTATGGTTCTCAGTGTGGTCACATTCATCTCAAAGTGTGGTGCATCATCACGATGTGGGGACCTTGTTAGAGATTCTTAGGCTCTACCCC